TTCCTCCAACAAATTATATAATCTATAATTTGTTGGGGGACACAGTTTAAAAAAAAAAAAGTTACTTTTTCTGGTACTTTCAGTATATAGTGGGAAAACACCCCAGTCAGCAAGTGGTTACCAAAATACAGTCAAGTACCTGAACTATTAACATCTTCGTGTATATTGAGATTGTAGTCCATCCCAGGAGTGAGATTGGAAACGGTGACTACTTTACAACACACACAGGGACCATGGGGAACAGACGTAGCCCCCTTCCAGAAGGAAGGACAGTGTCAGGAGTGATTGGAGGATCTGCAGCCGAGTGATACACAAATCAGATACATTGTTGTTCAGAGTTCAGGGACTGGGATGGATTTCTATGATTTGACGCCTGAGTTTAGGGTCACTTTAAAGTGGCTTCCTGCCTACATGTTCTCCAGTGATGGCTGCATGGCATTTCTCAATCAGGTTTATGGATGGCGACAGTGGACCATGTCCGTGTAATATATTGAAAACAGCATTTTCCCCATCAGAAAACATACGTGACAACAGGAGCATAAAATGGAGACAGGGACAGTGTTGTCACCCTATAACAGGAACGGTCTGAAGGACCTTCATAGTGGGATCACAGGAGTTTATGAAAGCAGCAGATAAAGTTACATGAACATGAGGTTTACACATTATACTTTGCTTTGGCCAGGGATTCTGAAAGGTTCCTGTAATATGCCTCAGGCAAGTCATAAATACATAAAAACAGTCCTACCCGTAAATTTCATACTGACTGGAACATACGTCAGTTCCACAGAGTGACAATGAAAGAGACCCAAACCAGTACCCATCGACTGTGATGGAGACGTCGTACCTCCAGCCTAGAAAAAGATTCTACGGTTAGAGAAAATCTATGGCACTCAAAGAAACTTCTCTTCTACACTTCAGGTAGAGGTGTCAGGAGTTCAGTTAGTCACAAGCATTAACCAGTAGAGTCAAAATTCACATAAACCCATTTGCTTGTACTAAAGGTAGTCCCTCAAGGTTCCATTTTATGAGGAAGTTGCACATGTAATGTGTCAAACTATTAATGACCAGTTATTGGAGTTACATTTTAGAACATGGGGCCCATTTCCTGGAGAGAACATTCTAATAAATTGTCCATTTTACTTCAGAACATTCTTTATTCCACTGGACAGCCTTTCCGCTTTTAGGAGAGGGCTCCCTTCTACCCCCACTGTTGCACCATAAACCAGGCACTGCACACCCCAGAATTGGTCTCCTGTTACTTTGACCATTTCTAGTTGGCAGTAGATGGCCGCTACTGGTCTTGTTGCTCAGCTGCCTCCACTGGATACAGCGAGAGAAAAGTACGTGGATAAGGGATTTGATACCACTCCGAAACACATACTTGGATCTGGGTTGGGACAACTAATATGGAGGTCAGCAATTTCGCCTCCATACGCCGACATTTAAGATGAAAATTCCACTCAAAGACGACCTATAACTATACAAAGCAACACTTACTCTTCCCTGCAGTAAGGCTTTAGACAGTGGCTGATTCAGCACCAAGCAGTAAAGAAAAAAAAAAAAAAAAAGAATGACCTGTACTTCCATTGACCCCCCCCACCCAAAAAAAAAACCCCACCCTACAGGCCAAACAATGTAGGAGAGGAGCAAGCCTGGAGCAGAAGGGGGTACCGGGGGTGGAGGGGGGGGTGATGTGGCTGGTGTCAGTAACAAGTCTGTTGATGTACAGGTTCACACAAGGTGAAAAATTACCCCAGAATGAGTTGTCTACCCCCTCCCACAGCACGGCCGTGCGCAACCTCCCCCCCCAATTTTGCCATGGCTTATATACAAGAGATCCTCAGTGGTCTTACACTAGTCTGGACCTCTTGCGGCGGCATAAGGGATGTGGCAGCCATGGCTCCCCTACATTCCAGTACAAGTCTAAAACTAGTGAAGACATTTATAAAAGATGTCCGCTGCAGGTTCCCTGGATGGACACACACGGTCTTAAATCCCCAAGTTAATTCTTTTAGCTACCAGAACCCTTCTGACCTCCACCATTCAGAAACTACTGAAGGGGAATGAAAGAGTTTGAGCAGTGGAAGGTTTGACACTAGAAGGGGTCTGCAGTCCACAGCTCAGCCCGTCTAATCCAGCAGGTCTGAGGATCTGGTGTTTGTACCTTCCCAATCCTGAAACATCCAGTTGCCTATAAGAACCTACGCAGGAAGTTTGAAGCATCTCCAGTGTCCAGGAAGAATTTCTGGTTGATTGTAGAGTTACCATGTTCAAGTGCATATTCATCCGCCTTGTACCCCATGTAGGCACAACTTGCATTGATGCATGGGAACCCGGATCCCGGTGAGGGAAGAGGAGAACTTTCCTAAAGGAAGTTGCACATAATTGATGTCAGTTATTGGACTGCAATGGTTATATGCTGAATCCCCAAAAGAAACCCCTCACCAGATTTGCGATTTCCTATTGCCCCATTTGTGGGCCATCAGGGATCAACATTTATGCAGCTTAAAGTTCATCTAAAGGATGGATCTATAAGACAACATTGGTTAACAAGACAATCTCCTTACCGGGGGGACAAGCCAATAAAATCCTGACTGGGGCTCCATAAACACATACAGTATACAAGTGATGCTTCTAGATACACCAAGGCTCAGCCAACACCAAGGCCCAGCCAACTAAAACTGCTCATATTTATGGGTTATGTCTTCTACATGTTCCATTTGGTGAGATTCTCTGTTAAGGGGCCCATACACTGCACCATTATTGCAGAAAATCCCGCGATCGTACAGTGTATGGAAGGCGGGTGACCGTTTCTACTGTACGGTCGCACGACTTTCGAGCATGTTCGAAAACCAGCCGAGAATCGTACGATTTTCGGCTGTTTTGAATCGTGATCGTGAAGATGACTGCCGCACGGGCTGGTGAGCGCACACTGCCGTTCCAACATTGCGGTCATCTGAATCCCTCAGCGGGGCGGGCTTGTGATGATCACAAGTACGATCTGCCTGTCCAAGATCTGCCTGTCCAAGACCTTTACAACCAGTCACAAAATAACTCCAGGCAAGTTAGGAGACCGCAGTAAATGCCTAATAGGACCCCTATCACTTTGTCCCATTCGGAAGATTTCATTTACACAATTTCAGAGAACAGAATCAAGGCAATTGGTTAGACTTATCACTGAAAAATGTCCCAACTGAAGGATTCCCCTTTCGGGAGGCAAAAGATTCTGTATTTACAAGCACTGCATCTTCTGAAAAATGTCACCTGGGCAAAATGTGACGACAGTTTAACCCTTCCCTTAGCAAAACCTAAGGTTCTGGCTTTAGATACACCCATCAGGTGGACAATAAGCTCTTCAATTTGTGTAAATACCAACGCTCCAGTGAGACTGGTTAAGCCAACATTGAATTTTATCCCGTTGCCATTTTCTTGGTTTGTGGTGGAAGAGAACCTGAAACAAGACTGACCTTTTGAAAAGCTTTGTATGATGAAGCAGGGTAGCCCACGAAACCATCAGGCCTCAAAATGCTCTCTGCGAAGAACATGACACTCCTATGGTGGTTACACATTATCTTCTCAGCCAGTCCTGAAAATAAAGTTGTGTCATTAATAATTGTTAGCCCACTGCGACAGAGTATAGCAAGCAGGAGCCATATTACCTGCAACGATCTCATCAAGATCTCCCTTTATATTAGAACTTTTATCACAGCCAGGCATCTGTTCACCACCATTAGGGTAGAAGTCAACATTACCAGATGGCTGTAGCATTCCATATCCACCAAAACCTGAAGAGACAAAATAGAGTACCAGCCTACAAGCCTGAGTGTATAGGGATGAGGAAGGTCAGACAAAACAGGCCAGCACACTGGGGAAGCTATTCAGGACTCCCAAGATCCCCAATCAGACCATAAACAAACCTCTGCTACCCCTAAATGACAGATCACCCCCTATAGCAAGATCTGTTTAAAGAGGAGAGCTTCCCTAGGAAAGGTAAAAGGTTACGAAACAGTTGACAGCCTGCAGAACCACCAGTCCCCCT